ACCATAGTGCCCACACATTAGTACAGTTGCTTCTGACTTCCTCCAGGTGAACGGTTGCTACAAATGCTCTGTAAGGTCTGAGATTTCCTTTTGGAATACGGGATTGGAAGTAATCTCTTGAGTCATCATCTGGTTTCCTTAACTTGCAAGCTGCTTGATCAAATAGCTAATTCTTTGTAAGTTGAGTCATCTAGCTGTATTCCCGTCTAAAAACACGCAGTGAGATGAGAAATACTGCTGGTTTTCCTTCACGTTGTTGGTGAAATCCGAGACTCCTTGAGATTGTCACCAAAAATCGGGAATAAAACTCCCTAACACTGGGTGTATTAAAGAGCAGGCGTGACTTTATTCGGCCGGGTGCATGGGGGATCTCTCCGCCTAGCATGCACACTGTATGTTGCATCAGCTGTCCCTTGTATGGCTCTTTGATATACATATTCATTATAATTGCTTGGAATAATCATACATATTCATTATATTTCTCAGAACTAATTGTAATATCTGCATAGTCTTTCACGCATGCGTTTTGAGTCCTTAGGAGCATCTACAGGTGTCTTAGGTGGCCTCTCTTCTCCTTATTTGGTCACAAATTGGCTCATCACTGCCGTTTGCCACAGTTTTGGTTGTCCTTGTCTGGTTTCTGCTAGTACTTATCTATCTCATGATGCGCTCGTTAGCTTTGGCCGTGTATGCTTGACACATGCTTGATTAATCCAGCCGTTTATTTTACAACTATTTACAACAAGATACAGAACTCCAGTTCAGGAGGACTGAACGTGGCCTCAAGTTGCACCAGGGGAGGTTTAGATTGGACGTGAGGAAAAATGTCTTTACTGAAAGAGTGGTTAAACATTGGAAGAGGCTGCCCAGGGAAGTGGTTGAGTCACCATCCCTGGAGGTATTTAAAAGACAGGTAGATGAGGCACTTAGGGACATGGTTTAGTGGGCATGGTGGTGGTGGGTTGACGGTTGGACTCAATCTTAGAGGTCTTTTCCAACCTTAATGATTCTATGATTCTATGACTGCAGGTCCAGCTTCAGTCAGGATTAGTGACTCCATAAAGCCGTTGGCCCATGAAACAGCATCTGTGGTGCAGAGCACCCAGCTGGTGGCCATCTGAAGCAGTAGGACCATGCAGAGCTCCAGCCTGGCTCCCAAAAGCCGCGTAGCTGCTTTAGCAGAGCAGCACATTCAGACTAGTAACTCTCTTTCTCTCAGCACAGCTAACTACCTCGGGTGCCACCTTGCACTGATGTGGCTGGTCTGGTGCCAGAGCTTGCTTTCAACATGGGCTAAGTGCTCTGTGCTCATCTGTCCTGGTTTCAGCAGGGATAGAGTTAATTTCCTTCCTAGTAGCTGGCACAGGGCTGTGTTTTGGATTTAGGATGGGAACAAAACTGATAAGGCACCGATGTTTTAGTTGTTGCTAAGCAGTGCT